TTCTTATGATTAGCAAACATTGATGTAAAATTGTGACCAGAAATGATTATATGCATAATTTGAGAGCAGTCAAAAACAGTGAGTTGAATAGTTTGTAAGTAATGATCAGTGTCGAAGCAAACTTCTTATAAGTTGAAAATATAACGGTTGGAGTTTGACTGTATTGAAGCATCAATCACTGATAGCTAGTTAATGGATGAATGCAGTTAGGTAAGATGCAGGAATATATGTAGCTAACAAATAATTTAGTTGACGAAACGACGCGTTGGAGTGGCATCGATTCGTACCACATCAGCAGTAGCACGAAGAAATCTGAATAATGTGAGGACAATTGCACGTTTACGTGGAGTGAACCAACGATCTCGTGTCGTAATGGGAAGTGCCGCCAGAAGACGTGCAAGATTGGCGCAACAGCAACAACAAATCAATTTGATCAATACCGTGAATGTTCGTTTTTGAAATCATTGTTTTGTGTGACTACTGGTTATGAGAAAGTTATTCAATTGCTTTTGTTACCTTTCAGATCGAATGAAACATCAAGTAGGTTTCTAAATTTTCAGCAGTTGAGATGCACTTTCATAAAGCGATGGATTAAGGTTATGCATACATAAGCGACAAATGTTATTTTGGTTACTTAGTTGCCTATTTGAGAATGATCGATGTATTTTTAGTTTGTTGTATTTGTGTTTGATTTCAGAGACAAATACGTGGACGTGGTGTGTCGCGTTTTGGACAGCTAGTCAGTGATCAGCCAGTGGTTTATGAACGTCAAACGTAAGCGATATATTCGTTTTATTTGATTAGCTGAGCTGTTTGGAATGGTTTATTGGGATAACGTGGCAATGGTAGTAATGTTAACAGCAGAGAACAATGACTATAATAACACTAGTAAATGGAATCAAATTTGAATTGACATTCAGAATTGAGCCAATGAACTCGGCGAGAATGGGAAGCACAACGCAGTTCGTTCGTCAACTGGCCACAATGCCGATGCAACGCCAGCGAGGAATGGTGCAAAGAGAAGTGATCGTCGAGGATGACAGTGATGA